CTCTACTGCATTTCTATACCAAACACTACTGCGCGTCTATACCAATCTCTACTGCATTTCTTTACTGTCCTCTACTGCGTTTCTCTACCAAACGCTACTGCATTTCTTTACTGTCCTCTACTGCGTTTCTATACCAAACGCTACTGCGCATCTATACCAAACGCTACTGTGTTTCTTTACTGTCCTCTACTGCACGTCTATACCAAACGCTACTGCGTTTCTTTACTGTCCTCTAGTGCGTTTCTATACCAAACGCTACTGCGCATCTATACCAAACGCTACTGTGTTTCTTTACTGTCCTCTACTTTGTTTTTATACCAAACGCTACTGCGCGCCTATACTAAACGATACTGCGATTCTATACCAAACTCTACTTTGTTTCTATACCAGTCTTTATACCAAGCACTACTGCGCATCTATACCAATCTCTACTGCGTTTCTATACCAAACACTACTGTGCGTCTATACCAATCTCTACTGCATTTCTTTACTGTCCTCTACTGCATTTCTATACCAAACACTACTGCGCATCTATACCAAACTGTATTGTGTTTCTTTACTGTCCTCTACTGCATTTCTATACCAAACACTACTGCGCGTCTATACCAATCTGTATTGTGTTTCTTTACTGTCCTCTACTGCGTTTCTTTACTGTCCTCTACTGCATTTCTAAACCAAACACTACTGCGCGTCTATACCAATCTCTACTGCGTTTCTTTACTGTCCTCTAGTGCGTTTCTATACCAAACGCTACTGCGCATCTATACCAATCTCTACTGTGTTTCTTTACTGTCCTCTACTGCACGTCTATACCAAACGCTACTGCGTTTCTTTACTGTCCTCTAGTGCGTTTCTATACCAAACGCTACTGTGTTTCTTTACTGTCCTCTACTTTGTTTTTATACCAAACGCTACTGCGCGCCTATACTAAACGATACTGCGATTCTATACCAAACTCTACTTTGTTTCTATACCAGTCTTTATACCAAGCACTACTGCGCATCTATACCAATCTCTACTGTGTTTCTATACCAAACACTACTGCGCGTCTATACCAATCTCTACTGCGTTTCTTTACTGTCCTCTACTGCATTTCTGTACCAAACACTACTGCGTTTCTTTACTGTCCTCTAGTGCGTCTCTATACCAAACGCTACTGCGCATCTATACCAATCTCTACTGCGTTTCTATACCAGTTTTTATAACAAACTCTACTGTGCTTCTGTACCAAACCCATACCAAATGATAATAGGATTAATAATAACAATTTTAGCAAAGGGTGTTGAGCAGGAACATGGGGGCAGCAGTCAGGCCGCAGCCACAGATACTAAGGGATGGTTCAGGACTACCTGAGCCAGCCCTAACTATAAGCTTTATCAAAGAGGAAAGTCTTAAGCCTACTCTTAAATGTGGAGATGGTGTCTGCCTCCTGAACCCAAACTGGAACCTGGTTCCACAGGAGAGGAGCTTGATAGCTGAACGCTCTGGCTCCTAGTCTACTTTTGGAGACTCTAGGAACCACAAGTAACCCTGCATTCTGGGAGCGCAGTGCTCTGGTGGGGTAGTAAGGTACTATGAGCTCTTTAAGATAAGATGGTGCCTGACCATGGCCACACACAAGGCTGTCTGTCTGTCTCTAATTGCAATTGGACTAGACAGAATAACTTCTCTGGGAATGTGATCACGATGAGAGTAAAGCTCTCTCTCCCAATGCATACAAGCCTTCCCATCCATTCCAAAACCAATCACCATAAAGAGGTGATGATGATTTTATGGACAAGGGATCCCATTACTGACAAAGAATGAACAGAAAGAGAAACCTTTCTCCCATGATTCATGGTAAACTAACAAGTGCACTTGAAATGTGATGCACGCTAACAGATTGACCCCGTTTCCACAGGAAAAGAATGCTGCCTGCTCGTTCCTTGTTGTTTGAGGTTATTGTTTTCCTTTTTTTTTTAAACATGGTCCAGAGTTTTGCCAATGCGCTCTCCTCCACAGAGAAAAGGGGAAACTGAATGCAAAACTATGGAATGTGTGTGAGGTGTGTTATCAGACAGCCTGGAAGCTCAGAGGCTGTTTTACACACACAGAGCAGAAGAACCATGTGACCACCTGATGAGGGAGCTTTTTAGCTAAACCCAAGCAAAGGCAATAAGTGCTGTTGATGATAGTTGAGATGTTTCCAAAATGGATAGACATCAGTGTTACTACAGAAACATGGTGACAGACTGAGACCAGACGCTTTTTTTTCAGCAAAACTTGATCCAGTGGCTGCAGGGTTACCACGTTGTCTTAGAGCTGTGGCAGCAGCTGAGAAAGCTGTCATGGCATCACGTCACATTGTTGGTTATTCTGATTTAACCCTTTGGTCCCTCATGAGGTTTCTGTGATCTTGCTTGAACAGAAGACCTCTCTTCTCTCCACAGCACGTTGCTCCGATACACCACTGTTCTATTGGATATGCCTAACATCGCTGTCAAACGCTGTAATGTTTTAAATCCTGCAACGTTGCTCCCCATTCCAGGAGACGGAGAAGATCATAACTGTGTTGCTGTGCTTGAGCAGGTTTGCACTCCATGTACAGATCTGTCTGAAACACCTCTAACTAACCCAGACCTGATTCTCTTTGTTGACGGGTCTGCTTCATGCAATGTTAACAAAGGAAAAAATCAAGTTGGGTTTGCCGTAGTCACTCAGCACGAGACACTGAAATCTGGCCCCTTGCCATCTCATTATTCAGCTCAAGCAGCTGAGTTGGTTGCACTCACTGAAGCTTGTAAATTGGCCAAAGACAAATCAGTAACTATTTACGCAGATTCTCAATATGCATTTGCAACCGTGCATGATTTTTCTGCATTGTGGAAACACTTCAACTTCAAAACAAGACAGTGCAGCTGTAGCAAAAGCCCTGATTTCTGAGATCTTGCCGCGCTGGGGCGTGCCTTCTAAAATCAGCAGTGAAAACAGCACACCTTTTGTAAGTGAAGCCATCAAACAACTTGGCTCTTATATGGGCATTGATTTGAGACAACTGTTCCTACCACCCAGCGAGTGGTGGAGCAGTAGAAAAAGAGAATGGAACATTAAAAGCTAAGCTAGCTAAATGTTGTGAAGAGTCTTCCATGGACAAAGGCGTTGCCGTTGGTGTTGATGTACATGAGAACGAGGGTAAGAACTAGGTCAGGTTTGAGCCCGTTTGAGATTCTTTTTGGGCGCCCTCCACGAACAGGGATAGAGGCAGCAAGCAGAGTACCGCCTGACACACATCACTGTGAGAATGATTGAATGTTAAAGTATTGCCAGACTTTGTCCTCTGCTCTGTCCGTCTACATCAGCAGGTTAAAGAGGCCCTACCCTCTCCAGCGACAGAACCACTGCACAGTCTCCTAGATTTTGTGGTGGTTAAGGACTTCAGAAGAAAACGCTGGAAGGCGCAGAGGTGGAAAGGTGCTCCTGACAACATACACAGCGGTAAAAGTGGCTGAAAGAGCTACACGGATTCACGCCAGCCACTGCAGGAAGGTGCCTGCACCAGTACAACAATAGATCAACAAGCGTGCAAAATCAGAAACTGAACCACTGTTTTCCCTGTGTTGTGAGTGAAGGAGGGATTGGGAACGCTTAGGCACCCTTTGTCTCGGACTCACAGGCTGTTAGACAGCAAACATCAACACAAGGGAGCTAGTGGGAAAACTCCTGGTCTCATCACTGCTGATTTAAGTGACGCTGCAAAAAATTAAGAGTGGGTAGCATGGTTGTCTCTGGAAGGAGACGTCATGGGACCCAGTCAGACACCCAAATATGTGTGGCCTACGAGGAGCAACACTGATGTTTGCTGCATTTGCAATATCATTAACAAAAGCCACCACAACAGAACACCACAGTGAACTACAGGCATTGACATCAAATAGCAGTGTTGGAGGCAAGAGAAGCACCCAAAGAGGCTGGGATGCTGGGCTAATGTTTAATAACTCCTGTTGTATGTTTGTGCCCAACAGTACAGCTCCAGATGGTTCGGTGAACTGAGTGCTGGAAGGACTGCGTTCCCTACGAGAAGAACTTGCAGAGAACTCTGAAGTGGACACTAACATGTTTGACTGGTCAGATTCTGTGTTTGCTAAATAAAAGGCCTTAGTGATGCCCATACTAGCAGGTGTAAGCTGCTGTAGCTCTCTGTGGATGTTGCATCATTCCCTGTGCCAGAGGTCTGATTGTAGGAGCTATTGATAAATGTGTCTCCATTCAAATGATCACACTCCATGAACAAGAATAACATGCCACTGTGATGACAGGAAGGACCCAGATTCGTTTTCTTTGTTGAACTGGTGTAGACTTTCTATGACCTGATGATCTGTTTGTAATGCTGTATATACTTGAGTGATCAAAGAATGATCACAAGGGAGGAGTATGTGATGGAAATTTGATATTTTACTGTGTTTACTGTTCCACCCTGCATGCTTCATCAGAACAGACCAGTGTTTCACTGCGTGGTATTTGATTATTTTATTATGTTACAGCTGGGTGAAGTTTCCCATGGGAAAGATGCTCGTTAGAGAGTTTTCTTATCAGACTGTCCTTGATAGGCCTTCATCTCAGGACAGCTGGTCCCGACTCCCTTCCTCCCTTGGATAGCTGCGTAATACCCTCACAGTATAAAGTCACCTGCTTCTTCAATGGCTCTTTGTCTCACACTCTGCAGACTGTTTGGCACTCTGTATGTTTGTCTGACCCTTTGCAAAGAATAAAACCCTTAAAAGACGTCTGGATTGCAATCTTTATTTCAGAAGACTCACTAAAGGACAAATTTACATTACTTATTTTAAATTATATTCTGGATTTTACTGGAAGCCAATGCAAAGAAGCTAAAACAGGAGAAATGTGATCTCTTTTCCTGGTTCCTGTCAGAACACGTGCTGCAGCATTCTGGATCAGCTGAAGAGTCTTAACGGACTTTTTCGAGCAGCCTGATAATAAGGAATTGCAGTAATCCAGCCTAGAAGTAACAAATGCATGGACTAGTTTTTCTGCATCATTTTTAGACAGGATGCTCCTGATTTTTGTTCTATGTGGGAGGTAAACAAACAACATATGTGTTTAGTTGTTGTAAGTTAGCTTAGCGACAGCGGACTTCAACCAGGTCAACACTATCCACTGTCCTTCACTATGCAATCTGAGATCTGTGTGTGTGTGTGTGTGTGTGTGTGTGGTTTATCCCTCCATTAACATCTCACGTTTCTGGAAAGCAAAGATTTCTTCACTTTCACATCCTGAACAACCTTCAGACAGGAACGGAGACACAAAGTCACATTGTTGTGAAGGTACCTGTCTGTCTTTCTATCAATGAGAGATCTGGTCTTAGAAAAGAGAACTCTACATATTTAAAGTCTATGGATTCAGTCTTGTCCTTCTCTGAGTTTGTTGGGGGTTTTGAAGTCACCTCAGCAGAATAATTTAAAACCACTATCAGGAACTTTCATCAGGAGTCCTTGCTTGTGTGCACGAAACAAACATAACAGACCTTCTCTGACTGGTGGTCAGAAACTCCACAGGGTTCCTTTATGTTGACAGGGTGATGATAGCGCTCCACACACACACACAGTCCTTCAGCAGAACGTAACATTATATTGATGTGTGTGATGCCTGTTTCACAGAGGTTATCTCTCCTCCTGGAAACAGAACAGCAGTGTGAATGTGTTGTCCATACGTGCAGAGGCCTGTCAACATGACCGCGGTGTCTCCTTCTGATTTCCTGTCCTTCATCTGTTTGAATAGAAACCACCTCAGGCCAAAACCTCTGAACTGCCCTTGAAGGTTCAGGACAGAGACGACAGCAGGTTCCAGTAATGACTCATCTCTATACATCTGAATCATGGAGTCTGTGTCCATATTCACACGTGTCCTGCAGCAGCAGGTACTGAGAACAGCTACTGTTTCTTACTATCGTGGTAATTAATCATATTTTACAATCATATTTTGCTGCAGGTTTCAGTAGTGGTTACAGTGTCATTTCTGTGCCGATACATTTTAAAATGAAGTCTGGATTTAGTATTTCAGTCTGGTTTTAACCTGTATGGAACTCAGAGACAGAAAACATATATTACCTTCCACAGAGCCACGCTGCTAATATTAAAATATCCTGAAAAAAAGACAAACGTTTCTTGTTGGAAAGATAAGGTCTCAGTTAAACGTTGGGATGCCCTGATCCCGGCCAGGGTTTCAGTGTTTTCCTGTTGTTTTCCCGTTAATGTCCCTCCTCGTATGTTTGAGTAATCACACCCTGTCCTGCATTCTCGCTCTTTATCCACATGTTTTATGTTTTGTTTGGTCGGTTCCGTTCCACATTTGTTCCGTGTTTCCTATTTTATTTTGAAGTCGTCTGTCTCTGGTGTTCCTGTCTTGCTTTGTTTCCTGTCAGCCCCCCGGCTCCCCTGTTTCTCTAAATAAGCCTGGGTGTAGGGCTGTCCCCGACTAAGGATTTACACAGTCGATTCAGAATCGTCAGATCCAGCCTATAGTAAAGTATATCTTCTTCTATAGTCGACTGATCGAATCATGTGTGTTTTTATGAGCGCCGATTGGGGGGGTGGGTGGGTTACACATGGTAGCGCCGTTTTAATCTTGAGAAGCTGCAGAGCTGCAGTCTCTATTCATTCAACTTACACTGTAAATTTCCAGCTAAACTGAGGATTTTTGAAGACCATTTTCTCTCTTTCTTCTTCTCTCTCTCTCTCTCTCTCTCTCTCTCTCTCTCTCTCTCTCTCTCTCTCTCGATTCAATTCAAATTAGCTTTATTGGCACAAATGTGTAACAACAATATGGCCAAAGTGTCATACAAACTACATAAGAACAATCAACCCCATACATTTCATTAAACAAGTAATTAAAGCGTTTGTTAAAAAATAAAAAAATATTAAAACTTAAAATAAAATAAATAAATAAAACAGTAAGCGTGTGTCTGTTAAAAAAAAGAATAAATAAAACAGTAAGTGTGTGTCTGTTAAAAAAAAGAATAAATAAAACAGTAAGTGTGTGTGTGTGTGTTAAAAAATTTCAATATATTAAAAATAGAATAAATAAATAACAATAAGTGTGTGTGACTGTTAAAAAATATATAAAAATTAAAATAAAATAAATAAATAAAAGTAAAAGTGTGTGTGTGTTAAAAAAAAAATAAAATAAAAATAAAACATTAAGTGTGTGTGTGTGTTAAAAATAAATAAATAAAATAAATAGTAAGTGAGTGTGTGTTAAAAAAATAAAAAATTAAAAAATTAAATAAATAAAACAGTAAGTGTGTGTGTGTGTGTTAAAAAAAAAATAAAAATAAAATAGTAAGCGAGTGTGTGTTAAAAAAATAAATAAAACATTAAAATAAATAGATAATACCATAAACGTGTGTGTGTATATTAATAGACAAAAAATTAATTAATTAATTAATTGATTAAAATAATAAATTCTATTTTATAAAATAAAAAAAATAAAAAGTAATCAGTATCAAATGTAAAACAAATCAATTACTTAAATATATAGCAATCAAAACAATAATAATTTGATCAGTCTGAGGTTCCACTGGTTGTCCTCACTTCATGGCATGAGGAGACATATTTTGCAGCAATTATTTCACATTTGGGCATTAGTGAAGAAACGCAGTAGAGTTTGTTATAGAAACGCAGTAGAGGACAGTAAAGAAACACAGTAGAGGACAGTATAGAAACACAGTAGAGGACAGTAAAGAAACACAGTAGAGGACAGTATAGAACCACAGTAGAGGACAGTATAGAAACACAGTAGAGGACAGTATAGAAACACAGTATAGAAACACAGTAGAGGACAGTATAGAAACACAGTAGAGGACAGTAAAGAAACACAGTAGAGGACAGTATAGAAACACCGTAGAGGACAGTAAAGAAACACAAACACAGTAGAGGACAGTAAAGAAACACAAACACAGTAGAGGACAGTAAAGAAACACAGTAGAGGACAGTATAGAAACACAGTAGAGGACAGTAAAGAAACACAAACACAGTAGAGGACAGTATAGAAACACAGTAGAGGACAGTAAAGAAACACAAACACAGTAGAGGACAGTAAAGAAACACAGTAGAGGACAGTATAGAAACACAGTAGAGGACAGTAAAGAAACACAGTAGAGGACAATATAGAAACACAGTAGAGGACAGTAAAGAAACACAGAAGAGGACAGTATAGAAACACAGTAGAGGACAGTAAAGAAACACAAACACAGTAGAGGACAGTAAAGAAACACAGTAGAGGACAGTATAGAAACACAGTAGAGGACAGTAAAGAAACACAGTAGAGGACAATATAGAAACACAGTAGAGGACAGTAAAGAAACACAGTAGAGGACAGTATAGAAACACAGTAGAGGACAGTAAAGAAACACAAACACAGTAGAGGACAGTAAAGAAACACAGTAGAGGACAGTATAGAAACACAGTAGAGGACAGTAAAGAAATGCAGTAGCGTTTGGTATAGAAACACAGTAGAGGACAGTATAGAAACACAGTAGAGGACAGTATAGAAACACAGTAGAGGACAGTATAGAAACACAGTAGAGGACAGTATAGAAACACAGTAGAGGACAGTAAAGAAACACAGTAGAGGACAGTATAGAAACACAGTAGAGGACAGTAAAGAAATGCAGTAGCGTTTGGTATAGAAACACAGTAGAGGACAGTAAAGAAATGCAGTAGAGGACAGTATAGAAACACAGTAGAGGACAGTATAGAAACACAGTAGAGGACAGTAAAGAAATGCAGTAGAGGACAGTATAGAAACACAGTAGAGGACAGTAAAGAAATGCAGTAGCGTTTGGTATAGAAACACAGTAGAGGACAGTAAAGAAATGCAGTAGAGGACAGTATAGAAACACAGTAGAGGACAGTAAAGAAATGCAGTAGAGGACAGTATAGAAACACAGTAGAGGACAGTAAAGAAACACAGTAGAGGACAGTATAGAAACACAGTAGAGGACAGTATAGAAACACAGTAGAGGACAGTAAAGAAACACAGTAGAGGACAGTATAGAAACACAGTAGAGGACAGTAAAGAAACACAGTAGAGGACAGTAAAGAAATGCAGTAGAGGACAGTATAGAAACACAGTAGAGGACAGTATAGAACCACAGTAGAGGACAGTAAAGAAATGCAGTAGCGTTTGGTATAGAAACACAGTAGAGGACAGTAAAGAAACGCATTAGAGGACAGTAAAGAAACGCAGTAGAGGACAGTAAAGAAACACAGTAGAGGTAAGTAAAGAAACACAGTAGAGGACAGTATAGAAACGCAGTAGAGGACAGTATTGAAATGCAGTAGAGGACAGTAAAGAAACACAGTAGAGGACAGTATTGAAACGCAGTAGAGGACAGTAAAGAAACACAGTAGAGGACAGTAAAGAAACACAGTAGAGGACAGTATAGAAACACAGTAGAGGACAGTAAAGAAAAACAGTAGAGGACAGTAAAGAAACACAGAAGAGGACAGTATAGAAACACAGTAGAGGACAGTATAGAAACACAGTAGAGGACAGTAAAGAAACACAGTAGAGGACAGTATAGAAACACAGTAGAGGACAGTAAAGAAACACAGTAGAGGACAGTATAGAAACACAGTAGAGGACAGTAAAGAAACACAGTAGAGGACAGTATAGAAACACAGTAGAGGACAGTATAGAAACACAGTAGAGGACAGTATAGAAACACAGTAGAGGACAGTATAGAAACACAGTAGAGGACAGTAAAGAAACACAGTAGAGGACAGTATAGAAACACAGTAGAGGACAGTAAAGAAATGCAGTAGCGTTTGGTATAGAAACACAGTAGAGGACAGTAAAGAAATGCAGTAGAGGACAGTATAGAAACACAGTAGAGGACAGTATAGAAACACAGTAGAGGACAGTAAAGAAATGCAGTAGAGGACAGTATAGAAACACAGTAGAGGACAGTAAAGAAATGCAGTAGCGTTTGGTATAGAAACACAGTAGAGGACAGTAAAGAAATGCAGTAGAGGACAGTATAGAAACACAGTAGAGGACAGTATAGAACCACAGTAGAGGACAGTAAAGAAACACAGTAGAGGACAGTAAAGAAATGCAGTAGAGGACAGTATAGAAACACAGTAGAGGACAGTATAGAACCACAGTAGAGGACAGTAAAGAAATGCAGTAGCGTTTGGTATAGATACACAGTAGAGGACAGTAAAGAAATGCAGTAGAGGACAGTATTGAAACGCAGTAGAGGACAGTAAAGAAACACAGTAGAGGTAAGTAAAGAAACACAGTAGAGGACAGTATTGAAACGCAGTAGAGGACAGTAAAGAAACACAGTAGAGGACAGTATAGAAACACAGTAGAGGACAGTAAAGAAACGCAGTAGAGGACAGTATAGAAACACAGTAGAGGACAGTAAAGAAACACAGTAGAGGACAGTAAAGAAACACAGTAGAGGACAGTATAGAAACACAGTAGAGGACAGTATAGAAACACAGTAGAGGACAGTAAAGAAACACAGTAGAGGACAGTATAGAAACACAGTAGAGGACAGTAAAGAAATGCAGTAGCGTTTGGTATAGAAACACAGTAGAGGACAGTAAAGAAACGCATTAGAGGACAGTAAAGAAACGCAGTAGAGGACAGTAAAGAAACACAGTAGAGGTAAGTAAAGAAACACAGTAGAGGACAGTATAGAAACGCAGTAGAGGACAGTATTGAAATGCAGTAGAGGACAGTAAAGAAACACAGTAGAGGACAGTATTGAAACGCAGTAGAGGACAGTAAAGAAACACAGTAGAGGACAGTAAAGAAACACAGTAGAGGACAGTATAGAAACACAGTAGAGGACAGTAAAGAAAAACAGTAGAGGACAGTAAAGAAACACAGAAGAGGACAGTATAGAAACACAGTAGAGGACAGTATAGAAACACAGTAGAGGACAGTAAAGAAACACAGTAGAGGACAGTATAGAAACACAGTAGAGGACAGTAAAGAAACACAGTAGAGGACAGTATAGAAACACAGTAGAGGACAGTAAAGAAACACAGTAGAGGACAGTATAGAAACACAGTAGAGGACAGTATAGAAACACAGTAGAGGACAGTATAGAAACACAGTAGAGGACAGTAAAGAAACACAGTAGAGGACAGTATAGAAACACAGTAGAGGACAGTAAAGAAATGCAGTAGCGTTTGGTATAGAAACACAGTAGAGGACAGTAAAGAAATGCAGTAGAGGACAGTATAGAAACACAGTAGAGGACAGTATAGAAACACAGTAGAGGACAGTAAAGAAATGCAGTAGAGGACAGTATAGAAACACAGTAGAGGACAGTAAAGAAATGCAGTAGCGTTTGGTATAGAAACACAGTAGAGGACAGTAAAGAAATGCAGTAGAGGACAGTATAGAAACACAGTAGAGGACAGTATAGAAACACAGTATAGAAACACAGTAGAGGACAGTAAAGAAAAACAGTAGAGGACAGTAAAGAAACACAGAAGAGGACAGTATAGAAACACAGTAGAGGACAGTATAGAAACACAGTAGAGGACAGTAAAGAAACACAGTAGAGGACAGTATAGAAACACAGTAGAGGACAGTAAAGAAACACAGTAGAGGACAGTATAGAAACACAGTAGAGGACAGTAAAGAAACACAGTAGAGGACAGTATAGAAACACAGTAGAGGACAGTATAGAAACACAGTAGAGGACAGTATAGAAACACAGTAGAGGACAGTAAAGAAACACAGTAGAGGACAGTATAGAAACACAGTAGAGGACAGTAAAGAAATGCAGTAGCGTTTGGTATAGAAACACAGTAGAGGACAGTAAAGAAATGCAGTAGAGGACAGTATAGAAACACAGTAGAGGACAGTATAGAAACACAGTAGAGGACAGTAAAGAAATGCAGTAGAGGACAGTATAGAAACACAGTAGAGGACAGTAAAGAAATGCAGTAGCGTTTGGTATAGAAACACAGTAGAGGACAGTAAAGAAATGCAGTAGAGGACAGTATAGAAACACAGTAGAGGACAGTATAGAAACACAGTAGAGGACAGTAAAGAAATGCAGTAGAGGACAGTATAGAAACACAGTAGAGGACAGTATAGAAACACAGTAGAGGACAGTAAAGAAATGCAGTAGCGTTTGGTATAGAAACACAGTAGAGGACAGTAAAGAAATGCAGTAGAGGACAGTATTGAAACGCAGTAGAGGACAGTAAAGAAACACAGTAGAGGTAAGTAAAGAAACACAGTAGAGGACAGTATAGAAACGCAGTAGAGGACAGTATTGAAACGCAGTAGAGGACAGTAAAGAAACACAGTAGAGGACAGTATAGAAACACAGTAGAGGACAGTAAAGAAATGCAGTAGCGTTTGGTATAGAAACACAGTAGAGGACAGTAAAGAAACGCATTAGAGGACAGTAAAGAAACGCAGTAGAGGACAGTAAAGAAACACAGTAGAGGCAAGTAAAGAAACACAGTAGAGGACAGTATAGAAACGCAGTAGAGGACAGTATTGAAACGCAGTAGAGGACAGTGAAGAAACACAGTAGAGGACAGTATAGAAACGCAGTAGAGGACAGTAAAGAAATGCAGTAGAGGACAGTATTGAAACGCAGTAGAGGACAGTAAAGAAACACAGTAGAGGACAGTAAAGAAACACAGTAGAGGACAGTAAAGAAACACAGTAGAGGACAGTATAGAAACACAGTAGAGGACAGTAAAGAAACACAGTAGAGGACAGTATAGAAACACAGTAGAGGACAGTAAAGAAATGCAGTAGAGGACAGAAAAGAAACACAGTAGTGTTTGGTATAGAAACACAGAAGAGGACAGTATAGAAACACAGTAGAGGACAGTAAAGAAACACAGTAGAGAACAGTATAGAAACACAGTAGAGGACAGTAAAGAAACACAGTAGAGAACAGTATAGAAACACAGTAGAGGACAGTAAAGAAACACAGTAGAGGACAGTAAAGAAACACAGTAGAGAGTGATGCACATCTAAGTGATTGACGGGTGCAGTGATTCATTTGATTAATCCGTGCTACTCTGCAGTCTTGGTGAACCGTGTCCTTTGTTGGAAGTCTTTCACAGAGACGAGTGCAGAAAAAATGTTGGCTTCATGTCCACAGTGTGTTTGTGTGCTGAGACCTCCCTCCTGTACGTCATATCGGCCTCTGTGTTCAGCCCTATAAGAGGCGGACAGACAGGACGACTGACCGTAACATCACCTGGAGCACCACCTGGAAGCTGTCTGTCATTGGCCAACCTCTCTGTGACTCACAGGTACATTTTCTGTTTACAGTCTCCTTTTGCTGCTCAACACCGGCTAAAATATTTATTATTAGTCCTATAATTATTATCAATATTATCCATCCATTCATCCATCCATCAACCACTTATCCTGCGCACAGGGTCGCAGGGGGCTGGAGCCAATCCCAGCTGACATTATCTTTATTATTTACCATTATCATTACTAATATTTCACATCTCTGTGTGGACCTTGTGTTGTGCTGCTATGAGCTGTTTTGTACTTTAACACCGAAAGAAGTGATGAGCAAGGCAGAACCAGATATCGACTTTTTGATTTGATACATTCTTTCGTGTCAAAATCTGGTTCCTACACTACCCACAATGCAACATGACCACCTGCAGTTCAGGGATGTGCTATGCTAGTAGCAGCTAATGTAGCCTGCCTCTAGCCTTTAGCAGAGAAGAGGAGTGGCTGGTAGGCCACGCCCCCATTGTTTTAGTTCAGTAATATGTGATTCTGCTGATGTTGATGTTTATTATCTGGACACTCAAATAAATATCGGAAAATATCTTTATCAATATTATGAAACTGATTTAGTGTCTGAGTCTAAGTCTGAAAAAGTGTTTAGTTAAGAAAGGAACAATGCAGCATGGTACACTGACATCACAAAGTACAACATAAAACGCGCTGCAGTGATTGGCCGGTGAGGTTGTTGCTGGTTGTTGTTCCAGGTTGATGTTCGTGGTCGCGATCATGCTCGTCCCTCGTTGCCTGCGTCTGACCGTGAGTGACGTCTGGACTCTTTCCTGCTTACGTCACTTCCTGCTGGAGTTCCTAGGCACCGCCCTCTTCCTGTCTGCCAGCCTATCAGCTCTCCTGATAACGCTGCCTGCTGCTGGAAGACCGGCACTGGATCCTAGGTGTGCCAGCAACCGGATCCACCCAAACAACCTGAGCGACCTGTTTCTAGACTCGTCTGGACTCGTGCCTGACTCACCTGCGTGTCCTCTGCAGGTGGCGCTGGTATTTGGTCTGTCTGTTGCCATGGCAGCGGTCTGTGTGGGCGGGGAAGCTCACTTGAACCCAGCGGTAACCATAGTGATGGCGCTGAGCCTGAGGCTTCGTGTGTGCAGGGCAGCTGTGTATGTGATTGGCCAGCTGTTAGGGGGCGTGGCCTCAGCTGCAGTGCTGCTGGGACTGACCGGAGACGTGACACCTGCTCTAAACCGTGTGAGTTTCATACAGAACCTGACGTAAAGGTGAGTCCATGTCTGTCTCTGACCTGATCTGTTTTCTGTTCAGGTCTCCCCTGGAGTCCAGCTCCACCAGGCGCTCGCCGTGGAAATGCTGGTTACCCTCCAGCTGGTCCTGGTTGTCTTGGCGACAGTTGACGTTCCCCTGCCAGCTGTGGCTCCTCCCCTATTGGTCGGCCTGGCTGTCAGTCTGGGTCACCTGGTGGCCGTAAGTCCCGCTCACCACCAGCAGATTATTCAGAGCCAGATTCTGAGTGTAAAAACAAAGGGGAGGATCAGCATCGGCTCAATGAGAGAGTCAGTCTCACCTGTTCAGACAAAGAAAGTCCAACGCTGCACAGCAGAAACCTGTTAACCAGAAACCTACAAACCTGTTGACCAGAAACCTCCTAACCAGAAACCTACAAACCTGTTGACCAGAAACCTGTTAACCAGAAACCTGTTAACCAGAAACCTACAAACCTGTTGACCAGAAACCTACAAACCTGTTGACCAGAAACCTGCAAACCTGTTGACCAGAAACCTGCAAACCTGTTGACCAGAAACCTCCTAACCAGAAACCTACAAACCTGTTGACCAGAAACCTGCAAACCTGTTGACCAGAAACCTGCAAACCTGTTGACCAGAAACCTGTTAACCAGAAACCTGTTAACCAGAAACCTACAAACCTGTTGACCAGAAACCTCCTAACCAGAAACCTACAAACCTGTTGACCAGAAACCTGTTAACCAGAAACCTGTTAACCAGAAACTTACAAACCTGTTGACCAGAAACCTGCAAACCTGTTGACCAGAAACCTGCAAACCTGTTGACCAGAAACCTGTTAACCAGAAACCTACAAACCTGTTGACCAGAAACCTTCAAACCTGTTAACCAGAAACCTACAAACCTGTTGACCAGAAACCTACAAACCTGTTGACCAGAAACCTGCAAACATGTTAACCAGAAACCTGCAAACCTGTTGACCAGAAACCTGCAAACCTGTTGACCAGAAACCTGTTAACCAGAAACCTGTTAACCAGAAACCTACAAACCTGTTGACCAGAAACCTCCTAACCAGAAACCTACAAACCTGTTGACCAGAAACCTGTTAACCAGAAACCTGTTAACCAGAAACTTACAAACCTGTTGACCAGAAACCTGCAAACCTGTTGACCAGAAACCTGCAAACCTGTTGACCAGAAACCTGTTAACCAGAAACCTACAAACCTGTTGACCAGAAACCTTCAAACCTGTTAACCAGAAACCTACAAACCTGTTGACCAGAAACCTACAAACCTGTTGACCAGAAACCTGCAAACATGTTAACCAGAAACCTGCAAACCTGTTGACCAGAAACCTGCAAACCTGTTGACCAGAAACCTGCAAACCTGTTGACCAGAAACCTGTTAACCAGAAACCTACAAACCTGTTGACCAGAAACCTGTTAACCAGAAACCTACAAACCTGTTGACCAGAAACCTACAAACCTGTTGACCAGAAACCTGCAAACATGTTAACCAGAAACCTGTTAACCAGAAACCTACAAACCTGTTGACCAGAAACCTGCAAACCTGTTGACCAGAAACCTGTTAACCAGAAACCTGCAAACCTGTTGACCAGAAACCTGTTAACCAGAAACCTACAAACCTGTAAACCAGAACCCTACAAACCTGTTGACCAGAAACCTGTTAACGAGAAACCTACAAACCTGTTGACCAGAAACCTGCAAACCTGTTGACCAGAAACCTGTTAACCAGAAACCTGCAAACCTGTTGACCAGAAACCTGCAAACCTGTTGACCAGAAACCTACAAACCTGTTGACCAGAAACCTGTTAACGAGAAACCTACAAACCTGTTGACCAGAAACCTGCAAACATGTTAACCAGAAACCTGTTAACCAGAAACCTACAAACCTGTTGACCAGAAACCTGCAAACCTGTTGACCAGAAATCTGTTAACCAGAAACCTACAAACCTGTTGACCAGAAACCTGCAAACCTGTTGACCAGAAACCTGCAAACAGAAACCTACAAACCTGTTGACCAGAAACCTGCAAACAGAAACCTGTTAACCAGAAACCTGTTAAGCAGTGCTTGATATGGTCCGGTACTCAGTATGCAGTACCGGCACTTCTACGTTTTACTCTTTGGCGAACCGAGACTTTTCCTCTCCTCTACCCTCTCCAAATCAGGTTCTCTGGGCTCCATGTTACGCTAACCTGTTCCCGTTGTCACCTGCCTGCTGATCTCTGGGGGCGGAGTCAAAGCAGAAGAGAAGCTCGGTGCCTTGCATGCAGCCGTGTGCAGAAAGTTGCTCGTCAATGTCACTTTTCATGAAGCGTCCAATCACAGCCCGGATGGGGCGGGACATTATGAAAGCAAATTTTTGAAATGTCGAACTGGTTGATTTGCGTGAATAATGTTATTGACACTTAGTACTTGGCATTAACACATTAGAGACTGACCTCCATGTAGAGCACTTTCCTTACACAAGGATTTAACCTGTTGGAAACCTCCAGCTATCTGCCCCAATATGCCTATAATAACTAAATAAATCAGTAATAACTCCTCAACCATCAGGCCTAGATGCATAATTCTCTTTGAAAGGTCAGAAGCTAAGGAATATGAATGTACGAACCTATTTATTTTTCTATTAAAGAGTAAATGGAGATGCAATAAAGGAAAATATGATATTTTCATCCTGGTATAAAATCTATATTTTAACAGCAATATCACCATTAAAACCATCATCCAACTCATCCAACAATGCAGCTGAATATCTCCTAATACACCTGGAATACACCTGTATGTGTAAATTTGATGAAAGGAAACTAACAGTTATTACACAATTTTTCAAAAATACACCAGGCGAATGTCCATGTTTTGGCCATATTTACTGTTTATATGTTTGCTTCTATTGGGAGTTTTCTTCAAAACACTATTTCTGTCCATACAACCACGTTCCAAATAACATAAGCTTCCAAAACATTAAAATATTGATAAAACAGTGAATATTCATCAACATGCCTGTGTGCTTTACAGGGGCACACGTTGAGAACAGAACAGCCTACAGGGCTCGTTCTCTTTGTCTTGAGCTGACGAATCGATTGGCATGCTGCATGTCTGTGTAGCTCCTACGGGTCAGCCAGTAGAGGCCGATAAAGACCTTCTCCCCAGAAGCAACTCTTCTTCTCTCCTTCAATTTGACGAGCAAAAGGAAACCTAAGAGCTCATTGACGGTCGGCCCGCGACGAAGGTCTCTATTGACACATAAAAACTGCTGTTTTTGGACTGAATAACAACAAAAGTAAGTCAGCGGTTGTAACTGTAAACGTATATTGCTGCGTTTGTTGTTGTTATTAGTCAACTAAGAACTATGTGAGTTTGGTGATTTGAGTGATTTGTTATCACAGCTGATCAGAGCTGAGCTTCCTTGTGATGGGACGGCGGTGTGGCATGAGATGAGAGATATCTGGATTGCAATAACTGCAGCCATGTACAGTGATTACATAGCGATTTATGTTGTGACATAAGCTCATTTCGGTGCTCGGTGTTTGATGGTTTGAGATGCTGGCTGAGCCTCCGAGCTTCACAGAAGTGTGTAATATGTGTAGGGTGACAGATTACTAGGATCATCCATGGATTTCACGTTTGCATTTTGCGTTAACATCGCGTGCTGCCCCCGGTACAGGGCTCGGTGAATGAACCCACAGAACCGACACACACTCACCTGTTCTCTACCTGTCTCTCTCTCTCAGGTCGGAGCGACAGGTTGTGGGATGAACCCGGCTCGCTCATTGGGTCCAGCTGTCGTCACGCTCGACTTCAACAACCACTGGGTCAGAACACACGCACACACACACACACACACACAGTGTCACCCTGAGACTTGGCTCTGATTGGTTGTTTCCTCTGCAGGTGTTCTGGGGGGGGCCTGGTCTGGGAGCGTGTCTTGCTGCTCTCCTGAACGATCTGTTGCTACGGCCACGCTGGCGTCGCCCCAGAGAGTGGTGGGCGGAGTTAAAACAGCTGTATGTGTTTGGAGACAAACAGCAGCAGGTGGCGCTGTCACACATGCCGTAACACACACACACACACACACACACATTCACCTGTTTTTAGCACTTAGGGGGACTTGCGTTGACATCTAGTCATTAGGAGGACACGCAGAAACCTAGACACACATTACATTCATTATGACTTGTGTGTCTCATAATTATAAAGGAAGAAATGGTAACTTCATATTTAAACAAATGTATTGACATTTACCTTGTGAGGACCAGCGTCCCCACACTGTACCCAACACACGTTATTACATGTACACACTGAGCATTTATTCCGTATTACACTCCCAAATATTCCAAATCAATGAGATCATGTGTTTGAAACAAACTGAGAAATAAACTCTTTTCATATTATCAGAATAAATCGACTCCATCAGCTTCAGTTATGACCTCTGACCTCAGACAGACTATCAGTCTGATGGTATTCTACACTGATCCCAGATCAACTGTGACTTATCGCCTGACATACCTTCTTCCTCTTTCTAGTTGTCAGCATGAAATTAACAGACAGGAAAACATGTCCCTGATCTCACCACAAACACAAGAAGAAAGAGCACAAAATAAAACTCCAGAGAAACATGCTTTTATTTTTAGCTTCTATCAACAAGAAACAGCAGCACGATGTGGTTAAACTGACTCAGCCAGCTGTCAATCATCTGACAGAGCACACACACACACACACACACACACAGACACACACACAGGGGGTTATATAACTGAGAAAGACTCACAACTGTTCAGTGCTTCAGTCTCCACACAGACAGTCCTTCAGTGAGACAGACAGACAGACAGGCAGACAGACAGACAGGCAGGTGGGATGTGTGCATTCAGGTGTGTGTGTGTGCTGCTGTGTGTGAGTGTGTGTGTGTGTCTGAACCTGTTGGATGAAGCTGTGATGTTCAGCGGAACGACAGGAAGTCTGTTTGGATTCTCTGTCGACTTCCACACCTTCAATGACACGTAAGAACCCTCTAATTAAGCCTCTAATTAACTTCTTACCTAACAACACACACTGTCCTGAAGCTGAACCTTTAACTGACTAATCTTTTCTATTAACGTAGGAGTTTGGTTTAGCTTAGCAATAACCACATATTAAATTCAGTGCCCGATGGTACCACATACAGAAGGTAGAGGTCAAATCCACCGGAAGTAAATCATTTAGATGTTCGATAGACAGCACGTAGTCAAACAGAGTGGACATACATGCCAGCATCAGCAACATGCGCACAGTGGATTAAGATGGGGACATAGAGATAACCTAAAACTGCTAAAAGATGTGATGGGAGGTTGTTCCAGTCACAGGTAGCCTCACAATGAATGCCGTGGCATATCTCTGAGGGGATATGAAGAACCATAAGGAACCACGAGATCTTTCAGATGTGGAGGACATTTGAAAATAAACTGAAACCATTACTGAAACCTCCAGTGTGTTTTCACATTTCTATGATATTTCATTTCATTCCTTACAATGTTCACTACCCACATAGTTTTCAGCAAATGGCTTAATTTTGTGCTCAAAGTTGCGAAAGTTGCTTAGTTGTTAAATCGGGGTTGTGACATATGACTACAGTAATTCCATAAGTCATACGTCATTCTCCAAGCTCGCACTGGCGGCGCTTCACCCCTCTTTAAGTCAGAGCATCAAACCGATTAACATCGTTGTGAGCTAGCTAACCAACTGGTCGTATATTTTACTCAGTACTTAGGTATGTCTCTCTGTGTCTGTGTGTCTGATGGTCGGTCTGTTTTTCTAGTTTACTTAGTCAAGTTAACTGAGTTGTATTATTTTGTAGTTTCCTCCTCTTGGTTAAATGTGCTGTACATTTTAATTATGACATCTGTGCATGCGGTGTTGGAGGACAGATGCCAGAAAATGCGTCGCACTTTCACCTGCCACCGTCTTATACACAGTCTGCAACACACATTTTACTGACGGCCGTTTCACCGATGCATCGGAAGAGGAAATGGTATCAGAAGTCTGAAGCTGAGGAGCGACGCTATCAGCGTTGTTGAAACGGTGAGTTGTGCGCTCAAATGATTGATTCTCACTAGCGAACTAATGTTAGTTGACAAAGTAAAAACATTTATTAATTAACATGACGTGTTGTCTGTGTGAGTGAGTATTACATCCTAATAATTAATTAATTAATTTTAATTCGTGAGGCAGGTTTGAATCCAGCCATGTTCTTCCTGTGTTCATGTGTGTTTCAGTGCAGAATGTGATATTTCTAAATGCGTACAGAGTTTTGTAGATGTGTAATTAGTCGTGGCTTTGGCCAAGCAAGAGGCAAAGAAGTGACGGTCGTAGCTACTCTGATGATGAACATTGCATACTGTATCAAAACTGTTGGTAAATTTTCAATAATGAGCATTGGCACCACAAGTGTGTGGCTTCTCTGCTTGTTTTTGTCAACTAGCAGCTCATTAATATGGAGGTCCTGAGCGCTGAGCGCACTGAAACTTAAAAGGACACATTAAACATATTATTTAACCCATCTGAGACTGAACATCAGCAGAGACATTACAAGCTTCGTACAGGTCGATTTCATGGCGGGGCTGGTGGTTGTTCCGTTTGGCTTTTGTTATAATTACATTTTGTTCTTTACAGAAACGAAGGACCTGAATCTGTGGAGGCCAGCCATTATTAAACATCTGTACCTGACAGCAGCTTCTTCCACTCTAACTGAGATGTGATGATGAACCACGTTCAGAACATCCATGAACACAGCACGCTGGAACCAGTTACCACATACCTTATACAGGTTGTGGATAAAATGATTAGTGGTCCAGTCTTCAGTGGTGCTGGTTGGTGCCTGGTTTAATTTGATTTCAGTGCCTGCAGAAATAAAATAATGTGGAGGTAAATTTCCCAGAGCAAAGAAAAGTAAATCCCAGTTAATTCTCTAGAGGAAAGATTCTGTTTTGAAACATCCATTTTGGAGATTATGAGTAAAAACACATGAACAAGACGTTTTACAAATTACAAAAAATATTTCTAGCTTCATGAGGATATAATTTACTGTAGGGCTGTTTAACTGGACTGCAACAGTTTTAGCTTGGTGTACCTCATTAACAGAAATTAGTATTAAATGCACATGGATATATATATTTGCAGAATTTGGTCTTGTCATGTTCTATATGTTGTTTTTTCACACATGTACAACTTGTGAACTGCATGATCTGCCTTTTCCACAGGTTTCTCTCCGTAGTTCTGCATTTCAACCACGATGGAAGCTGAGAGGTTACTGTGATGGTGTGTTATATTCTATAAACATGTTTTTCCTTCCCCCAGCATACGCACCAGCCCTCTGGAGTCCACTGCACCTGCCCCGCTTAGCAGAGCCTCATGGATGAATATGATGACATGCTCAGTGACATTTGTCTATGTGTAAGATATCTAAAAAACCTCTCTGAAAGAGAGATTAAGATGAAATCTGGTAAACAAATATGTCTCAGCCAACACTTGAGGCGTGACTTTTGCTGTTCTCAGCATTGCAAGAAAGTATTTTGTTTTGTCACTGCACTCAGTTAAAAGAATGGTCTGTGTGTATTTTCATGTAGAGCCAGCAGATGTTAATTAAAATATTTTCTATTAATAAAATCTTGAGAATTGTACCGCTTTGGTTTGGTGTTGAGTCTTTTCTAGTTTTAAATGGGCCATACCCATTTTGGTACATCCACACAAATATTCCATCAATAGTTTTTTTTTTTTTTTTTTTTCTTTTTTTTTTTTTTTTTTTTTTTTTAACCTGTCCTGCCCAGCAGCCTGGTATAGAGTATAATGACCTGGATACCATATTGTGCCAGACAGATTTTACTTTAACAAGAGAGTATTAAAATACTCCTTTGTCTGTTTTATTATTTATTTAATTATGTATTGATTTGTCACCGGGCCGGACAGGGGGGCAGACACGGGGATGGGGGGGCACAAACAGACAGCACAGAGAAAGGACAACACCTGCAAGAGAAGGGGGAAAGGGGGATGGAGGGTGGGGACAACAGGGAAAAGCTGTGGGAAACACCAATTGCAGAAAGCAACGAAACCTGCAAGAGAACAGAGAGGGGGGCTTGGGGAGGAGAAAAACAACAACAAACAAACACAAACAAAAAAACAATAAAAATAATAATAATAGTAAAAGAAAACCAGCCGAACAGCAGCAATAAACAGCTGACATATTAATGACATATTAAGACAACTAAGAGAACAATGAAAACAAGAAACAGTCACACACACTAAATAAGCAACACAACACAGCCACGAGAGCTGGAATAATAATTAATTTAAATAAGTAACTGAAAGAAAGGCATCAGGAATAATTCTACCAGGGACAACCTAAGTTTGTTTGTGTCTGTGTGTGTCTGTGTGCGTGTGGGTGAATGTGTCTGTATGTGTGTGTATGTACATGTGTGTGCGCATAAGCCTGTTAAAGAATGTAGTTGTTAGAGAGAGTGGGACGCCACGACTGTAACAGGCAGGCAAGAACCCCAGTAGCCAATAGGGGTGGAAGAAAGAAAAAGAATAAATCAAATCAAAAAAAAACAAAGACTCCCAGATGCACCGCGATGCAAACGCAGAAGACCCCGACCCAAATGCCAGTTGAGAACGTAATGCCGACGGAACGCAAAAGAGGAAGAGCAGCGCCCGGACCGACCGCGGCGCAGACACAACATAGACCAGTGGCCTCCCCCATCCAGCACCCCACCGCCGCGCAGCAAACAACCATAATGCCCAAATGCCACGCAATCATCAACACCAATGCACAAGTGATGAGCCCAACGCGCACACTGCGCGAGCACGGCGACACCCATGCCCAGCAGCCCCCAGCGAATCCCGCGTGCGAGGTCGGGCAAATGAGAGAGAGCAAACGGAACAACACGACAGCGAAAGCCAGCGAAGGGAGACACCAGCAGCAAGTCCCAGCCCGGCAGCAAACGCGCCGCACAGGTCACCGTGCACCCGCCAATAAAAGTCCACCGTCCCCCCAACCGCCGGAAAAAACTAAGGCCGCCGGCGCCAGCCGACATCCCCCATGCCCAGCGCGCCCCCCGGCCGCCATGCAACACCAGCCAAACCAGCAACGAGGCAAAATCAACTAGCTCAGCTGCATGCCACCAATAACCCACCCATCCATCAAGGGCCGAGAACTCCAGGCACAAACCCAGAACAAACCGGAGCACAGCCCTGCCCCGCACCCACACTGCACATCCCGAAAACTAACTATATACCTCAGTATCCAGAGGGGTCCAACAACTGGCCGACAGAGAAATGGGCAAGCACGGATCCGAGGCCAACGAAGCAAAACAGGAACGCAAACAGGTCCCTCCAAGCCAACGAGGAGATGCCTCCCCCGGACTCCAACGCAC